TGCTGGGATTACAGGCTTGAGCCACCGCACCCGGCCTTTTTTTTTTTTTTTTTTTTTGAGAGGAAGTCTTGCTCTGTCGCCCAGCCTGGATTGCAATGGTGCAATCTTGGCTCACTGCAACCTCCACCTCCCAGGTTCAAGCAATTCTCCTGCCTCAGCTTCCCAAGTAGCTGGGATTACAGGTGTGCACCACCATGCCCAGCTAATCCATTTTTGTGTTTTTAGTAGAGACGGGGTTTTGCCATGTTGGCCAAGCTGGTCTCAAACTTCTGACCTCAGGTGATCCACCAGCCTCAGCCTCTCCAAGTGCTGGGATTACAGGCGTGAGCCACCGTGCCCAGCCCACCTTCCTCCTTTATTTGGATGTTGTTTTATGGTATATGCCAATAGCCTAGCCTTGTTACATCCTCCAATTTAAATATATATACACATAAATTTATTCTTTATGTACATTATTAGTATGAATGCATATATTTATATGTAAAGTCTATAAATTTACAGATGTGTTTGTGTGTGTGTGTGTGTGTGTGTCTCCACCAATCAGTCAACGTAGATTTGGTAGCTCCGATGGTTCTATGGTTCTGCTAAAAAAGAAATAAAAGTACTCTGGTATGTCCAAATGATAAAACATTCCTTCGTCTTTCTACTTTTTCTTACTTTCTCTTTCCCTCCTACATAGGAGTTTAATAATGGTTCAGAAAATATCTATTAAGTTCAACTTTTTATTTTTTATCATCCATTATGCGAATTCTGAAGCCTATTCAGCATCATTTTGTTTCTAGATTGTGAAGACTGCAGGATCTTCACAATTTCACCTAAAATTGGTAGACTGTCTTTTTGCCTATCTGAGTTGCCTCTGCTTAATTCCTAGGCTTTAACTCTGGCTAGATCCTGAGGCACATGATATATTTTCCTTCCCTTGTCACTGTGGAACCTGATGAGCAGTCTCTGGGGTTGTTTCCTTCCTGGTCAGCCTGAACCAAAACAGCTTGCAGTATAGACAGTGAGTAATGCTGAACAACCCCTGACTTTTTCAGCAAACCCTAAGACTCTTTTGTCATCCTCATCGACGTCGGACCTCCAATTTTCTGGAAATAGCGGAAGCCCAGGCTGGAATTCTCCTGTGCATTTAGATTGCTGCAAGGCCCATAAATACTCCCCAGAGAGAGCTAAGGCTGCTCCAGAAGTCTGCTGTCTCCCAGGGTGAATGCTGAATGCTGTGCTCACACTTTCCTTGCAGAAACCCTAATGAAGGCCTGGCAGCCAAGAATGAGCAGGCTCTGCTTCACTTTGTGAAGTTCATTCGTAGGCTAAAAGTAGAGCAAGGGTCAAAAGGCAGCGGGGAGTGGGGTCTGGACTTCCAAATAGGTTCCTACTCCTTCGTGCCCCTCACTTCTCATATATCTTTTGGAATCTAGAAAATGAGTGACCCTGTTGTTTACTATTTTATTTCTATTTTTTTGGTCTTCATTTTTGGGAGGCAGCTTCATTCCAGTATGAAGCTTTCAGAAGAACTTAACTCCCAAGTTCCTTTCCCTCAGTAACATAAAGAGAGCAAACGTCCCCCGGGATTATATGAAGTGTTCTTCCTTCTGTTTTGCTAGAATGTATCTGATGATCTGATAATGAATACAACATGTGCAAAATTAGGTATATTCATGCAATAGATGTTCGTTCAGCCCAACAAATAAAACATTTTAATACGACAAATTAAAATAAAAACTTTCTAATGGCTTCCGTGGTCCCGGAGATCTAGGTCCCCACCCGCACTCCCTCGCTCAGGCTCTGCTTTGCCCTATTCTCGTTTGTCCCTGATGCAGGAGGGAGGCAGGGAAGTGCTGGGTAGTGAAGGGTGGGATCCCTGGCAAGGGCTCCACCCTCAGGCCTGTGCCTGCAGACCTAAGTGAGAGCACGCACTCCTGTTTTCACACCCAAATGTTGCGTTTTCCAAGACCGCTCTGGCCCACCACGCCCCCCATCCTGTGCCCATAGAAACCTGCGACCTTAGTGGGCACAGACACAAGTGGCTGAATGTCGGAAACGGCAGAGCAGCGACAACAGAACAACAAGGTAGAGAAAGAGAGAAGAGGAAGGATGCCTGGAGGCCTAGGGGAGTTCAGCCAGGAGGTCAGAGAAGAGTCAGCGGCTGGGCAGCCCAACTCCAGGGGAAGGCCATTTTCCCACTTCATCCAACCACCCTTCCAGCTCCCTGTCCATCTTGCTGAGAGCCATCTCCACCACTTATAAAACCTTGCACTCATCCTTCCAGCCCACATGGGATCTAATTCTTCCAATACACTGGGCAAGAACTCGGGATACAGAAGGCTGTCAAACTGACCCCCTGCCCTTGTGATAAGGCAGAGGGTCTATTGAACTGATTAGCACAAGCCATCTGCAGAGGGCTAAAGTGAAAGAGACCACTGTAACACAAACCCCTGGGGGCTTCAGAAGTCGCAGACACCCACCTATAGACACTGGAGGGGGTTGGAGCCCAAAAGTGCTCCCTACTGCCTCTGTACCTGTCCATCTGCATGCTCCCCCTAGGGGTTTGAGCAGTGGGGCTATGGAAGGAGCAATCCATACCCCTGTTGCTCATCCTGCGAGGTTCCCTTATCCCTGTTTCACCCCTTGCCCTCTCAGTTTGGGATACAAACATTCACCTAATGAGTAACTGGTGATGAATGAACAGTAACTGGAGAAGGCAAGCAATAAGGAGGACAACATCTCCCAAGGAACCACTGACGTCCTTGCAATGGCATTTGAAGGTAGCTTAGCATAGCTTAGTCTCAACCAAATCCATGCTAAGGAAGAGACAGAGTGGAAATTTCTTACTATCTTTTCGAATACTTGCTGGGGTCACTTGCAAATCAGAAGAAATACAACATTGTACTCAGCTATGTTGCCCAACTATCTGGAGCTTTGGAAAGGATGCTCTCAAAATATTAAAATGAGGGAGGTGGCACAGAATTACACTATGAACTACACACTAAATTGTGCAGAACACAGAATGTGGAATACGTGAAACCATTCCAAAGACAATGCTCTTCAGTCTGCAAGACAGTAAACCGACTAACATTAAGCATAGCTAAAGAAATAATGTGAAAATCAGGAGCATGGTGGTCAGCTTGGAGGTTAGAGTCATAAAGAATAGAAAATGGAATCATAAGGAACAGTTGGCTGGGCCCTCCAAACCATTGTCCAGAGGAGATGGAATAATCCCCCTCCTGGTGGCTGGACCAATCCCATCATGTAGGTGAGGCCTCAGGCCATCTCAGCCTGATGCCATTAGCCTTGGATTTATCTGGAGAACTCTCTTTTTTCGGACTTCCTGCTCTCCAGGCAATCTTTGATTATTATCTGACTTCCTCTATCATTCTGCGTATGGAAATGGATCTGTTACAAGGGCTTTTAGTATTCCATTTCTTCCAATAGTTTTCTTTTTCCGACTGTAAAAGAAGAAAATGGCATTTTGACCACGATATTATTTGGCCTAGCCCACAGGTCCACCAACCTGGGGAGGAAGTGCTGGTTATGCAATCCAAGAGCGTTCCTGTCCCTGGGAGCTGTACTTCTCATTATGAATGAATAATCCGGCATTCTGTTTTTAGGGCTGAGTGAATCTGCCCCTGTTGAGGGTTCATATACTCAGGGAGTACTTGGGTTTCTGGGCCTAGAAAGGAGAAAACCTGGCTCAGCAATGTGAAAAGTTCTCTTGGCGACGACACAGCCTACTGAGCCCTATTTCCTATGTGATAAGCACATATGCTTCGAGTTGCTGTTATTTTACCATTTTAGGCAAAGATAAAATGCTCAATGCATAATGTAAGATCCAGTGTTTACTGTGCATGATGCGCTCCATCTTAACATCTAGGCTTCTAGAACACAAGTGTGGCATTGTTTCCGTCACAGTCACACTTCAAAAAATTCCTCTAAACTCAGTATAAAATAAACAATGTGTTACAGTTTTAACTTAATTAAAATCCTAGTGCGGGTGCATTTGTTTCTAGGTTTACTAATTAAGTAGGGAAAGGAGGAAGGTAAATGAATTATTTCAACTCCAAACTCAACCCCTCCTATTCCCCTACACGCAAGGGATGATATGAGATTTTGTGCCAAGAGATGAGAATTTCCATCCTGTTTGGATTATGCTGGAATGCTGTTGGAAGATATATAAGAGAAGAAAACAGTATGATTCTCTATTTACTTCTTTTTTGGATACACATTTATAAACCCTCAGAAGCATGCCTCAAGAAAGTATGATTTCTAATCTGAATCTGAAGTAAGCAGAAGCTGGGGTTTTTGAACGGAATGGCAGGATTGCCTAAGAGGGGATCCTCTGGTGACAATGGCTGCTGTTTCCATGGCAATTGCAGATTTACCTGTGCACCCAGTCTCTGCTCCTTTTGTTCGTAGCGAACTACCATTAAGCAGCAACCAGCACTATTAGCAAGGCAGAGGCATTTAAGGAAACTGGTTCCCATCATTCTGTGTTCAGATCTTTTGTTCTGTAATGGATCTGCAACTCCCTAATGCCGCGTTAACGTAATAGCATTAGGGTGCTGGAAAAAAATGTCTGTAATCTCACTTGGGCCAAATTTTTCTGAGAAAGTGCCACTCTTATCCTCATATCCAGTAATTCCCAAACACTAGTATGTCTCAGAATCCTCTAAATTTGCAAAGTGCAAATTCCCAGACCCCACCTCCAGAGAATCTGACTTAGTAGGTCTGAGATGGGACTGAGGACTGAATTTTTAACAGGTACCATAGTTGATTCAGTTACAGATGGTCCCAAGACAATACAACAGGGACACCTTATTTTGGATACTCTCCAAATAATCCAGAAGAGGAGAGAATTGGACACTGTCCCCTTCATAATATTAAAGAAGATCATAATTTTAAAGAGAACAGTTGAATCTCAAGGAATTTCTCTGGCAAAGAATCTAGTTTGAATATATCCAGGCCATATGGCTTTAGTTAGGTGGCAAAGTCATTTTAGGATAGGCCTGAGTGTTAGACTTGCTTTTGAGGCTTGGATCATTACAACTCATTTTCAGGGCTCCCTCACAGCAGTACCTAACATCTGCTTTATCATCTATTGAAAAGACAAGGAACTACTGCCGTTGCAGGACCAGGCCAGCTTCAGAAACCATGCAGGTGGGGCTGTTACTTCCAAGGGCAAAACAAAGATGAAGTACTAAGCCATGCTCTGCCTTTCTCATAAAGGTCAGCATGGGCTTCAGCTTTAGGAAGTCTGGGGCTTCAAAGCTGTAGGAGGGAGAAGGCATCCCTTTGATTCCTTTTCTTGCTGATGCTTAAAAAAACTGTGAGCCCCTACACCTTGAAGAAGACTTCTTGTAGTAATCTCTCTTCCTTCATCTTTCCATTTTTCAGCCTCCTAGGATTTAGATGTTCTAAGATAAAGTCTCTTCCCATTCTTTTAGTGTCTAGGTTGCTCTGATGCCTCTTTTAATCATGCTGTGTTTGATAGATACAGAGTACTCCAGGCACTTGCCTCCAGGGATGGCCTTGGAAAAGACTGGTACATCTAGGAAACCCTCCTAAGGAGCTGGCATTCAAGGTACACAGGAATCACACATGGTGGCTTCAGTTTAATTTCAGAGCATCCTAAGTACACTTTGCTCCTGTCCCAACCCCACAGTCTCCCATTTCAGAAATAACATCAGCGTGCATGTGCCCAAGTGCTGCAGGTGGCACTTGAGCTTCTATTCAAATGCAGTTTCTCTCTGAAGAAGAACAAAGTCAATTGGAATAAAGGTCCTATTTTTGGAAAAGAGAAGTGATGCACTGATAGATATTTGCAATGTAAAAACTCCTTTCTATGGGAAAGCATCCTCAATTACTTAACTTTCTTTTTGGCAGTGGACTCCAGAAGAGCTCCAAATCACAGCAAGTACCTGTTGAGCATGATTGCTTGTGTTGCTGGTAACTTAATGCTTTTCCCATTTTTACAAAATGAGAACAAAATGACTGGTTTCCAGTAGGTAGGCAATTGTTGGCAACCACTTTTTTTTTTCAACCTCTGCTCATCGTTGTGAACTAGAACCTTCCCTCCATCAATAACTACAGGGCCAGCTTTGTAAACACGTCACGGTTTAGGGATGAGTGCAGAGGTGCTGAGTTATTACCCGTGTCAAATGAATTACATGGAGTTGCTCTACTTTGAAAGTAGCAGAGAAAAGAAGTAGTAAAATGCGATGGTGAAGGCTTCAAGTTTGGGAACCAGGCTGCCTGAGTACTAATCCATGCTGTACTGCATTCTCCACAGGCTCCTCATCTGTAAAATGGAAATAATGAGAGCTGGGGAGAATTATACAAGGTGTACAATTCAGTGGAGCACCAGCACTTAGCAAGGGCCCAGTGTACATTTGCCATTCTGGATGTGGAGAAAAGACTGATGCATTCGATGGAATGATAACTCACTGGACATGCCTGAATTTATTTGCAAGGTCAGGGAGACAATGCTATCACCTATTTGGACTAGAAGAATTAGCCCTCGAGTTGCCACCTTGTATTCATGGGATAGATGCTCAAATCAGCCCCTGTGAATCCCTAATCAAGCAAGTAGGAACTAGCAGGACAATAGAGGGGAATTCGGTGCTAGCCATGTCTGTTTCCTCTGACCAGGATCCCCTTTCCTACACACCCAGGTTCCATGATCAGATCTTGTGCCCTGCCTCTTCAATATTAAGACCTGCCATTTAGGGCCAGGCACAGTGGCTCAGGCCTATAATCCTGGTACTTTGAGAGGCTGAGGCGGGCAGATCACTAGAGGCCAGGAGTTCGAGACCAGGCTGGCCAATATGGTAAGAACCCATCTCTACAAAAAATACAAAAAAAATTAGCCAGGCACAGTGGTGCCTGCCTGTAGTCCCAGCTACTCAGGAGGCTGAGGCAGGAGAATCTCTTGAACCTGGGAGGTGGAGGTTGTAATGAGCCAAGACTTTTAGCTGGAGTCTCACTCTGTTGCCCACTGCATTCCAGCATGGGCAACAGAGTGAGACTCCAGCTAAAAGAACCGAAAAAACAAAAAATCTGCCATTTAGCCATTTATTGTCAAGCTCTTTTTACTGTCTAAAAAGAAATCAGGGGACTCTATGTCTCAATGGAATACTTTCTTCCTATGCATTTGGATAAAGCAGAACTTTCTGATATCTCCAACCCCTCACCTCTTAATCTCTTTATTCCTTCTTCATGTGTCCCTTGAGTGCCTACCTGTGTGCTAAGTGCTAGCAACACACAGTGAAGCAGATAAACACGGTCCTGTCCTCAAGAAGCCCATATTCTAGAGGGAAAATGATCATTAACAAGAAAATGGACAAAGAAGTAATTTTATGTTGTAATAAGTGCTTTAGTAAAAAGAAAGGAGGAAGGGGCTGAAAAAGAGAACAGTGAACAAAGAGCTGGGACGCTACAATGGATAGGGTGGTCAGGGAAGGGGCCGCCGTGGGTGGGACCTTAAGCTGAGAAAAGACTGCCTCTTTGCGGGTGATTGTGGGCAAGGTGATGTTTTTAACAAAGAGCCAGGCTTGGGTTGAGGTGAGGAGGTAAAAAGGTCTTTGAAAAAGGCTGAGATTATGATGTTGGTGCAGGCTCAGAGTGTGTACCCCAGAGGGCTCAGGGAAATACGCACATGGGGTGGGTCAGGACATGAGGCGGACACGGTGCCAGGTACTGGGGTCATGGTAGATCAACGGTTCCTGGTAGATCAGGTGTGTACAGAGGTAATGCTAATTCATTAATTTATTCTTTCAGTCCAAACGTGTTTATGGAGTATTACAATAGGTCATGTACTATTCTGGGTGCTTGGACTACATTAGCAAACAAAATAAAGATTTCTACTTTGGAGCTTGTGTTCTAGCTGGAGGAAAGAGAAAGCAACTAACAAATGTAACATGCAAAAAAATTAAATTATGTCCAATGTTAGAAGGTGTTAAGTGCTATGGAAAAAAATTAAGACAAGGTAAATTTTGGTAAGGGGAATCAGGAGTGCCAGGGGTATCTGCACACACGTGTGTGTGTGTGTTTGTGTATATGTAATTTAAAATAGAGTGGTCATACTTACCTGGCAGGGGAGATACCATGATCACGTAGGCGGTTTTCCCAGGACGGGGCTTACCCATTGCACTCCGGATGTGCTGACCGCTGCGAATTCCCCAAATGTGGGAAACTCGACTGCATAATTTGTGGTAGTGGGAGACTGCGTTCGCACTTCCCCCTGGTAAAAAAAATTAAAAAAAAGAAAAAAAAAGAGTGGACAGCATAAGCCATGTCAGAAGGTGAGTGTCTTAGTCCACCTTATGTTGCTATTACAGAATACAATAGACTGGATGACACATAAGGAACAAAAATTTATTTGGCTCACAGTTCAGGAAGCTGGGAAGTTTGAGAGCATGGTCTTGGCATCTGGTAAGGACCTTTGTGTTGTGTTGTCCCATGGTGAAAAGCAGAAGGGTAAGTGAGGGTGACAGTGAGAGACAGAGAGGGCTGTTTGTTTTTATAACAACACAGTCTTGAGACAATGAAACCACTCTTATGATAATGCCATTAATCCACTCATGAGGGGGAGCCCTCGTGGTCTAAAAACCTTTTAACAGTTTTACGTCTTAATACCATCACAATGGTAATTAAATCTCAACATGAGTTTTGGAGGGGACATTCGAATAATAGCAGTGAGATTGACGGTGAGGGGTTTAGCCTTACAGGTGACTGGGGAAATGGTCTAAGCAGACTGAACAGCCAGTACGGGGTCCGGAAAGTAGGACGTAAGACTATGGTAATGAGTGTCTCGGGGACCTGGACCTCTGGGGTGACTAACCAGGGCTGTGAGGCGCTGCAAGCCAGTCCTGAGAGTCTCCGAGACCAAGCGGGGCTGCAGCTCCGAAGGCACACTGCACTGGTGCTCACAGCAGCTGCCACTCTAGAGGCTGGAGCTGGTGTTGCAGGTTTATGGGCGGAGACTCAGAAGGCTGTGGGTGGGACACTGTGCCAGGTACTGGGGTCATGCAAAGATGCTGACCTGCTTCTCTCTCTGCCTCCAAGATTCCCCAAATCCTTCTCTGCAGCACCATTCTGGCTTCCTCAACCTCCCAGAAAGCTTCCAGGACTCAAATTGCCTGTATCCTCTTCTAGTCCTAGCTTGTTCAATCCCAACCCTGACTCCTCAATGCAGAGGACCTCAATGAGAGGTTAGGAGGGAAGTAACCAACATGCGCACGCAAGCATTGCTGATGAGTTATGGGACTGACTGAACTTGGCATTTGAAAGTTAGAAAAGCAGAATATTCAAGGTCAGACAAATTTTGGTTTACATTTCACCTTTGCCACTTTTTAGTTGAGAGACCTTGCAAAAGTTATTCTCAGTCTCTCCCAGAAGCCTTGGGGAACCCTGGGCAGCTTTCGGATTTTGAAACTCCCACCTTTGGACATATATATATATTTCTATGTTTGATTCTGGGGGTACCTCTGTACTGTGATCCACCCCTCTTATCATCCCAGATCTGTCTTACTCATTTGAGCACTTGGAGCAGTAGTTTTGTTCTGTTTTTTGAGACGGAGTCTCATTTTGTCATCCAGGCTGGAGTGCTGTGGCATGATCTTGGCCCACTCCAACCTTCACCTCCAGATTCAAGCAATTCTCCTGCCTGAGCCTCCTGAGTAGTTGGGATTACAGGCACGAGCCACCACGCCCAGCTAAGTTTTGTACTTTTAGTATAGGCAGTGTTTCACTATGTTGGTCAGGCTGCTCTTGAACTCCTGACCTCGTGATCCACCTACCTCGGCCTCCCAAAGTGCTGGTATTACAGGTGTGAGCCACCATGCCTGGCTATGGAGCAGTAGTTCTAAATCATCCCTGTATAGCAGAATCACGTGGGGAACGTTTAAATATACAGATGCCTAGGCCCTTCTCTCAGTGATTCTGGTTCCACTGGAGTACGGTCCTGGCAGTAAGTATTCTTTCCTTTTTTCCTTCCCTTTCTCGTCCTCCCTCCCTCCCTCCCTCCCTCCCTCCCTCCCTTCCTTCCTTCCTTCCTTCCTTCCTTCCTTCCTTTTCTTTCTTTCTTGACAGGGTCTTGCTCTGTTGCCCAGGTTGGAGGGCAGCGGTGTGACCACAGCTCACTGCAGCCTCAACCTCCTGAGCCCCAGTGATCCCCCAACCTCAGCCTTCCAAGTAGCTGGGACCATAGGCAGGTGTCACTATGCCAGCTATTTTTTTTTTTTAATCTTTGTGGAGACAGAGTCTCCCTATGTTGCCTGGGATGGTCTCGAATTCTTGGGTTCAAGTGATCCACCTGTCTAGGCCTCCCAAAGAGCTGGGATTACAAGCATGAGCCACCATGCCTGGCCAACATAGGGAGACCCCATCTCTTCAAAAATAAATAAACTAGCTTGCATAGAGGCACCTGCCCGTGGTCTCAGCTACTTGGGAGGCAGAGTTTGGGGAATCACTTGGGCCTGGGAGGTTGAGGATGCAGTGAATTGTGATCACAAAAGTAGGCAAAGGACATGAACAGACACTTTCAAATGAAGACATACATGTGGCCAACAGTCATCTAAAAGAAGCTTAACATCACTGATCATTGGACAAATGCAAATCAAAATCACAATGAGATCTCAATGATCAGTGATACTATAACAGTCAGAATGGCTATTATTAAAAAGTTGAAAAAGAACAAATGCTGGTGAGGTTTTGGAGAAAAAGAAACACTTATACACTGTTAGTGGGAGCGTAAATTAGTTCAACCCTTGTGGAAGACAGTGTGGTGATTCCTCAAACAGCTAAAAGCAGGACTACCATTTTGAGCGAGCAATCTCATTACTGGGTATGTGCCCAAAATAATATAAATTTTTCTGTTATAAAGACATGTGAATGTATATGTTCATTGCAGCACTATTCCCAATAGCAAAGGCATGGAATCAACCTAAATGCCCATCAATGATAGACTGGATAAGAAAATGTGCATATATTATGCAGTCATAAAAAAGAATGAGATCATGTACTTTGCAGGGACATGGAATACTATGCAGTCATAAAAAAGAATGAGATCATGTACTTTGCAGGGACATGGATGGAGTTGGAGGCTATTATCCTCAGCAAACTAACACAGAAACAGAAAACCAAATACTGCATATTCTCACTTATAAGTGGAAGGTAAATGATGAGAACACACAACCCACACTGAGGCCTATCAGAGAGTGAAAGGTGGGAGGAGGGAGAGGATCAGGAAAAACAATTAATGGGTACTAGGCTTAATATCTGGGTGATGAAATAATCTGTACAACAAACCTTCATGATACAAGTTTACCTATATAACAAACCTGCACATGTACCCCTGAACTTGAAATTAAAGTTAAAAGAGGTGTCCATGTGATTCTAATGTGCACAAGGCACCGAGTGGGAGTCTATGACCAGTCACGGAAAGTGGGCTAAGGCTTCAGGACTATCTCCCATCAGCTCCAGTATGTGATTATTTGCCAGGTCCATATTTCTTCTTTTTTTGGAGATGGAATCTCACTCTGTCACCCAAGCTGGAGTTCAGTGGTGTGATCTCAGCTCACTGCCACTTCTACCTCTTAGGTTCAAGTGATTCTCCTGTCTCAGGCTCTCAGTTGCTGGGACTACAGGCGTGTGCCACCACATCCAGCTAATTTTTGTATTTTTAGTAAAGATGAGGTTTCACTATGTTGCCCAGGCTGGTCTCAAACTCCTGACCTCAAGTGATCCACCCACCTTGGCCTCTCAAAGTGCTGGGATCACAGGTATAAGCCACTGCGCCTGGCCTGTGAGTTCCATATTTGTAATCTCAACAATCTTCTTTTTTTTTTT